ATTGATCCAGTTTTCTCAAATTAATTATCATGTATTGTTCTAGAAGTTTAAAGAGCCATAAGGGCATCTTAATTTTCTGCACGGTTGCGTTAAGCAAGCCTTATCAATCAAACCAGAATATAGGCTTTTTTCGGGGTAACACCTAGAGTAACAGAATCACTTGAATCATTTTACCTTAAGTTAATTCGTGCTTATGGCAAAGAGTTAACGCTCTTGCCTTCATAGACAACCGTCAATGGTTCGAATCCGACCAGGAGTTTTTTATGAGCAAAAAATTTTCCGCGCGTGTGTCTGGTTATGTTTGTCTGCTTTTTATATCGGCTTAAATGCCGCAGCACCCAATTTGCTTAACAATTGGAAATTTTTACTCAAATTTAAAAACAATTCATTGTATTCTAGTTCTGGGCAAGCAGTTCCAAGAAGTTTTGCCTAATTTTGCTATTTGATTTTTTTTCAGGCTGTTTTTATTAAAAACTTATGGAGTTTGTGTTCTTTGTATATTTACGGAGTATTCTGTGAATTTGGAGTAGAGGTAACACACATGCTTGAGACAACAAATCGAAGAAGTTCGTTTTCAGTCGGGACCTGTTTTTTTTTGCGAAAACTGAAAATTTCAAGTTTTTCGTGTCTGCTTTCTTTGTCGGCTTAGGTCTTGCAGAAAGGATCGGTTTAATTTAAGCGGTTTGAAAGTTCTTCAAAGTTTCCAAAGGTACAGGTAATTTTGTTTCATAAATTTTCATGTCCTTTTATGTTTTTTACCCTTGCGATAAGCAAGGGTGTTACAATCGGGTACGGCTTTTTTTCTCGTAAACAACTTTGTCCACAGGATGACTGAAGTTTGGTCATCTCCAAATGTATCTCTATTTCTACTCAAGATGCTTGTCGAACAACTGTAATTCAAAAGATGGCCTCAACGACTAAAGTGATAGTTGTTTTACTGCTGATAAAGGTTTCTAACATGTAAGTTAACTTTTTGTCCGTTTTATTGATTTCGACCTAATTTTTGTTGGCTTTCTGCCGGGTAATAAGTTCTCAATTTTTTGGTAGGTTTTTTGATATTGTTTCTTTGTTTTCATTAGGGTAAATGTAGTTTATGGTTTTCTGGCATTTATAGGCGCCAAAGTTTTCTCGTAGAAAGTAAACTTTTTTGAATTTTTCTGCTAGAAATTTTTGTTTGCAAATCAATTTTCAGTTTTTTCGATGCATGATTTCTTTTTTATTTTGTTCTAAAAATGCCTGAAATTAGTTTTATTTAGTTAGGTGTGTTTTAGGCTTAGGTAATTTTATTTGAAATCGAATCAAGTTGATGGTTTAACGTATTGTTTCATTTTGTCAAAAAAAAATTCAAAAAAGATAAATTCTCAAGTCTTTTTTTTTGCAAATTTGACTTGTCTTTTTTGTTACCAAAGGAATGTGGCGGCAAGTTCTGCATAAGATTTAGGCGTATGGTTCTTTTTGAAACTTTTGAAAACATGTTATTTCCATTTTCAGAGTTTTTTTGTTTGTGATCTAGCTCTTTTACCGTTGCGTTAAAATTTCTTAACCAGTAAAAATTCTAGATGTAATTGCGTTATTTTTAAAGGCTTTCTGAGTTTTGCAAAAAAAAAAACATTTTTTTTTTGTTAACTCGTGTTCATTGAACTTTTTCGAACTCTGTTGTCTATGTTTCCAACCCGAGTCGCAAATATTGGTGCTACTTTCGGTGGCCCATTTCTTTTCATAAAAGTGGTAGAAAGACCGGCTACAATGCCGCATCTTTCGCTAGTCTCTTTTTACATTAGCCGGCTGCTTTCGTGATGGTGATTTTTTGACCCATAAGGAGTTTTCGTGTTTTCTCCAAAAATGCCCTGCCACATCTAAGATTAAGTGTTCAATAAAAAGAAAATGTATAAAGTTCTCCCCAGCATGAGCTGCTAAGCCCTTGTTTTTAGATAAAAAGAATTATACCCCTGGTAATTGTTCGTTATACCCCTGGTAAAAATAAAAGTTTGACCCGTTTCTTGAAAGTTTTTTCTCGACTCAATTGCAAGAACCCGTGTTGAGAATCCTCCATGAGTAGATGGCTACGCGCATTTTTCTGTAGAATAAAAGATGAAAATGTCAGATTTGACGTTATTTACACTTGCGAATTTAAGTGAGCGTAGTGTAATAGTACGACTGTTCTTTTTTCTAACCTAAGTCGCAAATATTGATGCCACTTTTGGGGAACCTTTACAGCTGTTTGATAGCATGTTCTTTGACACTCATAGTAATAAGTTAGCACGATTATTGCATTTACATTGTTCAAATGAACGGAAAAAAGCTATTGACTTCAGATATCAGTGCAACACAAAAACTCGATCTCAGAAATTTTCCAACTCAATATATCTCGCAATATTTTTGAAATGCTTAATTTATACACAATTTGGCTTTTTGCTTTCGAATCTTTATCATGCAAATTTAGCGTGGATGTATTCAATTTGTTATATTCCAAATTATTACATGCCAATTTGTGTCCTCTATTTGTATTTGGTGCCACTTTTGCTGCATAGCATTTGCAATTTATTGGCATATGTAGTTGTTTTTTTTCGTGACTAGTGTTTGTCGTATAATAACCGTTCGTGGTCGAGCGGGGAGGGCGTGAGACTTTAAATCTCAAGTTTACTGGTTCGATTCCGATACGTAGCAAAGTTTTACTGAATCGAGGCTTATTTCTCTTTTTTCTTATTTCACTTTCTAAAGCTGCTTTTTTTCTTGTTCTCGCTAGTGTTTGCGAAATGCAGATATGCCTCTGTGTTGGAAACTTTTTCCTTTCTCTGAAACTAACCTGGCATATGCTTAATTTATACACAATTTGGCTTTTTGCTTTCGAATTTATCTTATGCAAATTTAGCGTGGTTGCCTTCAATTTGTTATATTCCAAATTATTACATGCCAATTTGTGTCCTCTATTTGTATTTGGTGCCACTTTTGCTGCATGGCATTTGCAATTTATTAGCATCTGTAGTTTTTTTTTCGTGACTAGTGTTTTTCGTTTAATAAGCGTTCGTGGTCGAGCGGGCAGGGCGTGAGACTTCAAATCTCAAGTTCACAGTTTCGAATTCGATACATAGCAAAGTTTTACCGAATCGAGGCTCTTTTTTCTGATTTCACTTTCTAAAACTGCTTTTTCGTGTTCTCGCTTGTGTTTGCGAAGTGCAGATTCACCTCTGAGTTGGAAACTTTTGTCGTTCTCTTGAAACTACCCTGGCACATCTGAGGTTAAGTGTTCAATCTTACAAAAAATTAAGCAGCAATTTTGTTGAAAAAGGAGCTACGCACTAATTTTTTTTGTAGAAAGCTCCACGAGCAAATCTTTTCTGTATCAACTACGCGCATTTGATTTAGAACTTTAAGGGCAAGCGAGCTTGTTAGCGTTTTGTTATTTTACTGGTCATTTTTCAATCCAACTAGTATGAAATAGTGCTCATTTGTATAAACATTTTGTTCACTGTGTTCGTTTTCTTCGCTTTTGTTTTTGAAGTATTGGCAATTTCATAGCTTTTGTTTGATGTGCTTTGTTGGTGGCTAGTGTTTACCGATATTTTTTTCACAAATCGCAGATGGGGGGACGTTACACGCGCAAACCGAGTCTTCATGTTTTCAGGAGGGATTTTACGCCGCTTTTCTACTGAGAAACACAACAATTTTGTTTTTTCAAAAATAGCATTAGCCGAACCCATTTAAGTGAAAAAAAATGTAATCAACCAAAGTGGAGTTGGTGAATTTAGAAATTACAGTGCTATTAAAATTATACTAAATCAAAAAAAAAAATGAAAAAAATTAGGTGCGTTGAACAAAAAAAGAATATTTTGGAAGTTAAACCGAATAAATAAGTAGACAAACGATAGCCCAAAAACACAAATTTTCTCAAAATTTCCTTCAATTTTCTCACATCCAAGAAAAACCAAGTTCAACTTTTGGAATTTATTTAATAACACCGAGCCGAAATGGATTTTTCCAATTTTCGCAATACAACACAAGCATAGCATTTTGAGCTCGCAGTCAGAAAGTGAGATCGAAGCCACTAAATTGAAGTAATTATCAAAAAAAAAAATCTTAAGGTACAAAAAAATTTACCCATTTGTATCGAATGATATTCAATTGAGAAAAACATGAAAAAAAATACATTCACCCCTTTTAAGTAACCGAGCGGGAACTTTGGCGACAATACTTAGGATATACGCCACTTGAGCAAAAAAAAACAAATTGTTGTTATCGAAATTTTTGAGAAGTTTGGAAGTTCGATGACAACATTCTGTCGCAAGTGTTCATCTACCCTAAGTAGTGTCGACTTAGTTGGCGCTTGGTAATTTGTTTTAACGTTTATTTAACGTCGGTGCTTGTGCTTCTTGATTTGTTTTCCTTAAATTGAGCATGAGCTGTAGCTGTTGTTTTTTTGTCTATAGCTGAAGTTTTAAAAGAAATTATTCGACTTAGTGGCTCCCTGATCATTTATGTCTGCTAGCTCACAATGGTAGCCTTGTGTTGTATCGCAAGTCCTAAAACGCTCTGCTTCGCCTCTGTGTTATAGTATCAATTCCGAAATTCTTTTCAACTGTAAGTCTTTCATAAATTACTTTATAAAAGCAACTTAGGTATTTTTTGCGTTTTGCGTGTCTCAACCTTGTCCCCGCTGCTAATTAGTCACAGCAAGAACAAAGCAAGTTTTTTTAGCCTTCAGATTTTGTCCTAAATTATTAGTCTGAAAACCAGAATTATTCAAACCAGTTTTTCTCGAACCAGAGATTGGTTGATATTTTTCGGAATCCGAATCACGACTTCGGAGTTGTTAATGTTATACAGTATTCGACTTCGGTACACACTTTTGTGGGTTTGCCTGGTTAGCTAGAAAAAGTCCAAGTTATCACATCGTTCCTTCCTAATTCGTGATGTTGTTCGAACAAAAAATCGATTAGTTTTATTGCCTGTGTGGTGTCTGAGAGCGTGAAAGAGCTTCCTGTAAATTGAGAAATAATTTTTTTTTCAGACTAATTTATCATGGCTCGCTCAATGAAAAGTGTGCCTTTGAAAGGAACGACAGAGCTGGACTTTGTCAAGTTGCTCAAAAGTCACATTAAGAGTGCGGGATCGAACGAGGAAGATGCGAATAATGCTCTGGCTACTTTGACTAAGAGCAGAAACATAGGAGTGCTTGTTCCGCCTGACAGAACTGAGGTCGGACTGAATATGCTGCAAAGGTAAGTCATGATTATTTGACTATTTTGAGAACATTGCTCATGAAGTCAACAAATGCTCCCGACGAAGCAAGGATTGAAATAAATAAAGCGTCTTGAAATTTTAATTTTGTCAATGTGTCATTTTTCCCGGTAAATTGCTATTCAGTGAGCTATAGTTTTTGCCTTAAACTAAAACGAGGCCTTGATTACTGAGGTTTACTTAATGTAGAGCAAGTAGCTAGGAGAAATGGACAGTTTTAGATACTCACGCACTACACCAATTGGCGAACTTCAACGGATATTTTAGGTATTACGATCAGTTCTGCTCAATGGAAAAACGGTTTCCTATAACAGACACGAATGAAGTAAGCACCTTCTTTAGTGTAAGCCTGCTTTGTTGTAATAGCATTTATGTAGTTTTTCAAATCATTGCTGGTTTTTAGATACGCGTGTCTTTTTGTTGGAAGGACTCGTTCGGAAAAGGTGTTTTCGGATCAAAAAAGTGTAAGTTGATTTTTGTTCCGACCATTTTAAAAATGTGGAGGGACTTTGCATTCGGGTGTGTTTTAATTTTTTTCCACAAAATCAGGTACCGCAAATAATCATCGGAGGCTCGAGTGATATATCATATTAAAGCCCTTTCACTCGTGATTCGAAATATCTGTCGAGAAAAACCGGTTGGAAATTTTTGATTTTTGGTCTAATGTCGAGCTAATAAGGTGAGCATGTGCAGGCTTACAAAAGCTTATTTAAGCTAAAAGTAAGCCGTGAAAACTTGGTTTTGTTTGTGTTAAGTTAGCTTTAGCAGTTTTAGCGCCATTTTCGGAATCAAAAATTCAAAAAAAAAGTTCTGCAAAAAATGGAAAAATTGGCTTTAACGTTTTTTTCCCGTTTTTCTAGCCATTTTTCTACATAAATTGTTTTCCAATTAGCCTAAATGAATATGACTGTCCAATTTGCCCAATTTTTATATTTTCGTTCAGATTTTTTTTTATCACACCACACAGAAAAAAAACGACACTAATTTGAAAAATGTTATTTTTTAAGACTATGGGCGGAATATTCTGCTACTTGTACAGTAACCGGCTATCCTTGTTAAGTATTTGAATTTAATGATTTTAATAAGTAAAAACATTTTCATACCAAACTTTTCAGCTATTTCGAGCAGTGGTTATGAGAAAGCAGCAGTTCTGTACAACACTGCAGCCTTTATGACTCAGATCGCAACTGGAATCCGATCCAATGATGACGCCTCAATGCAAACCGCGACTAAATATTTTCAGGTATGATGTCAAAAAATGGGCGAACCCCTCATGCCATTAGGGCTGGTTGGCACGAATGCTTGAAATGTATGTAAGGCAATCATAACTCATTGCTGGCAAATTTTAAGCAAGTAAATTATTCAGTTTTGGACAGTTAGAAGGAAGCTGATTGGTTGAAAATTTTCAAGCAATTAGTTTCTCTGCTAGCAGAATAGACCCCAAAAGTTTTACTTTGCCTTAGGATTATACTAAATTGTATCAGTTGTGGAATGCGTGACTCATTACTCAAAATTTCGATCGCGAGTCAGTCAGTTTCGGTCAGTTTGAAGGGCGCTGATTGGTTGAGAGTTTGCGCGCATTCAGTCCTTCGCCCATAAGAATAGTTCCATCGGCTAGTCATATTAAAAGCAATTGAATTGCAATAAAACAAGACCTCTCGTATTGCACAAGCCCTGAAACCCTGAATGTTCCGACTGCCTTTTAAGGTTTTTGGAGCAGTAATAACATAAAAAATTAAATGTAATAAAATGAAACTGAAAATCATCCCCCCACACGCCACAAAAAGTACCAAAGAATAAATTTTGCTCCCTGTAACAAATCGGTTACATGACAAAAGATCCCTTTCCTTAAGATCCCAAACGAGAAGATCCCAGTCAATAAGATACCATTCCAAAAGATACTTCGTTCTAAAATCGACCACGACATGAGATACTATAATAAAATAACAAAGAATCCGAGAATTGAAAAGGATGCGGTTAATCGATCAAAGCGAAAAAAAGGTCACTTAAAATCAAAGAAACGGCAAGAATTTTGCTGCACAATATTTGAACATAAATTACTTTGCTAATCACTTGGTCTTCAAATTGAAACTCAAACCTCAAAAAAGCTTAGACTACAAATGAACTTGAAAAGGGTTTCCAATTAATCAAAACCAACTTTGCCAAAAATGGCCTGATTTTCCAGACAACTCAACTCGGTACAAGATTGAAATTGATTATTGCGTTTCGGCGAACTCAAGTCGGTACAAAATTGAAATTGAGTTATGCAAAATTTTAAAGCTTTGAAATCATTTTATTACGAATCACTTGCCATTCTATTTGATAAAAATATCAATTCTCAATTTTTATCAGCCTTTTTTGCTAGGCGCAATACTCAAAGGGCCGTCAGGCCCCTACCCCCAACCTAGCGTCCCGTAAATAAGGGTAATTGCTCTGAGATCAAATTGCTAGAGACAGCATTTTTTAACGAGTCGTAGTATTGCGTTTCGGGGTTATCCGGGAGGCTGCAAAGAGACGTCTATAAAAGGCTGATCAAACAAATTTACGTTTAAGAGAAATTAGGCAAAAACTAAAACAAAATTTAATGAGTTAAATGGGCAAGTGAACGGATATAAGACAAAAAGTTAGAATCTGTGTATGAACTAGTTATCTGTTGAACTTTTTCATTCAGATCACGGTACTTTTTCGGGATAAGTTGATAGTACCGCTGGATGCCTTCAAACTATTGAATTTTTGGTTGTAGGAATCCAGTTGAATTTTTTCAGGAAACGGATACATTGAAGGATGGCTGCCTTGAAACAAAGCGGTGACACCTAGATGCCACCCTTCAACTGCATTTGTGGTTCGGGCTAGACCACTCACAGCATTTTGATTACGGTTCCATAAAGGAATAGGAGAGAGCGTTTGTCGGCCAATCAAATCCCCTTTAATGTACGTTTTTGGAAAGCTGTGAGCTCGTCTAAGTTTTCGAGATCGTTTTGTGAAATATCCAGCTTGGTTGCAACACTGCATATTCCTCAATTACTAGGTCGAACCCGATTTCCACTTTTGACTCCGGCACAAAACTTAAGCGCAGGAATAATATTCTGCGCTAAGACTAGCTCGCTGTTTGATTCGTAATTCTTTTAAAGGCCCAATTCGGATATTTTCCGCATAAAGCTCTGACAGAGGTGAAAATAACAAACATCCTTTGATGGCAGATTCGTAATGAGACGCAAAAGCACTCAACGCCACACTTTTAAAACTGATCAAAATTTTTTCCGGGGGTACGTCACCGATAAGCGATTTAAGTGCGGTTAGGAACTTATAGGTTGTTAAGCGCTTATTGGTGAGCAGAGCGTAGACGCAAGGTGGATAAAACCCGCCAATCTGGATGTGTAGTGTAGAGCTGGTAAAAATTACCAGGGCAAATTTTGAAAGTACCGTCTACAAGCCACCAGGATCTGTTGTACAATTTAAGTGCATTGAGGTTCTCAATGGCGCAAAAAATTATTATGCGTTCCGTATCTTGTTTGCCGCTATCAAAAAATACAAAATTGCTTAAAACGATCGGGTATTTCGAAATGACGGTCATATCTGGCAATATTCGGCAGGGATGTCGTTTGTTTACTTCTGTTTAAAGTTCGCGTAATTGCCAACCGGGAAGGCAAAGACTGTTGGGTTGCTTTGTCGTTCTGCACCAATTGTAAACTAGCTGCGATGATCTGGCTGTTTACTGGATTTGGTTGATTCCTAACTGTCTCCTTCATTTGCTGAACTAGTTGCCGAGCTTCTCAGCGTCCTGCTTTGAGCTCGTGACTATGCTCATTGCGGTATGAAATTATTTCGCTCCCAGAAGTGATTAAAGATTTCGGGCTTTTATTTGACCTGCATTTGCTGCAGCGCTAGTGTTTTCTCTTCGTATCCGGTTTCTTTTGAAATTCATGGCCGTCCAGAATAATCAGTGTTTGGCCTTTTTGTGAGGTCCCCAAGTAAAAAAAAATTCTTTTTTGACTATTCAATGAGTTAAAGAAAGAGATAATGAATACAGAGTGTATACATTTTCAGTTGAGTTGTTCTAATTCAATGCCGTATTAACTCTAAATTAAACGCATGCTGGCACTATGTTAATCCCAAAAATGAGCCCAGTTTAAATTAAGTTATCTAACATTTGCGTTGTTCTTTAATAGCGCCAACCTAATTGAGATATCATTACTCTAGATTTATTTCTGCTGACACTATGATCATGATTTTTATTCATAATTCATGGGATCTTTTTTAATGGCATGAGATCTTATGGTATGGGCGATTTTGTACAAGGGATCTTTTGGTACGGTATATTTTGTCATGGAGCTTTTTTTGTGGTATTTTTTGTCCTGACATGAACAAATCAATTATGTCAAATAAGCTCCTTTCAACCAATTTGGAACGATTTCTAAGGCGGATTAAATCTCCGCTTACGCGTTAATAGCGCGAAATATATCGCGCGTTAATTGTCACATATTGGCTAAAATGGCACTATTTAAACCCCCATAACTATTTTTACGAAAAATAATCACGGATGAAATATCTTTTCAAATTTAAGCTCAGGACAACAATACCTTTTGAATGTTGTAAAAAAAATTTCGTCAAAAATGGCTATTTAAAAAGTCGAAATTTGTCTGAAGAAAAAAAAACCACCCCGATCACAAATATTCCGTTACTTTCGTATCGAAAGTCGGAACAATACATTCCAAGTGTGCAGATAAATCTTTTAATCTGACCGAAAACGCATTTTGCTTGAAAAATTCAACCAAAAACGCGGGAATGACAAACTTTAATGGAAAGGACCCGGCTTTTTCAGCAAGCAGCGGGCATCTTTGAGTTCCTTCGGGACAATGCGGTATCTATGGTTGGCCAAGTGAGCACGAATGATCTGAGTGCAGAGTTCCTGAGTTTCCTGGTGGCCCTATGTCAGGCACAGGCCCAGGAGTGTATCTGGATCAAGGCCTACTCGAGTGAGTTCTTTATCACGCCGATTTAATTAGTGTCTGCTGTCTATAGCATTCATTGATGGGTGAATTATATTTTTATTTAGGTGGTAAGATGAAGCCCAAAGTGCTCTCCCAGGTGACGGCTGCCCTGGCCGAAATGTACGAAACGGCTCACGCCAAGGCAGACACTCAAAGGACTGTGACCGCAGTGCTCAAGGACGATTTCGTAAGTTGACCCTAATTTAAAATTTTTAGTGATGGGGGGCTTTTTCAGATTTGTTTTATATTTGTCTGTGTTGTTTAATATTTGATTGCACTATCTGTTTTTAATCAAAGTCGAAGGCTATCATTTCTAGCAAACGAGATTTTGAAAAGTTTATGAAAAGTTTCATCTACTTATTTTTCAACAAGGAGGTAAGAGACACTTCAACCAGTTTTATGTCTGTTTGTTTCTCCGGTTTAAGCTATGTCCTGACTCCCCAAACGTTTAAATTTCCCATCTTCTACTAGTGTGCTGTTTTGTGACACATATGGATTCCTAACATAAAATTACCAGAAAACCCTTGTAGCTTGATGATATATCTTTTTTTAATTTCAAAAAAAAATTAAGTAAAAAAAATGTTCAAAAAGTCCTAAATTTTCAGAACCTAATTGACATGAATCTGCAATCAGTATCGGTACGTTTCTTTTTAAATCGAGTTAGTCCTCATCAAACTTTTACGCTCAGAATTAGTCAAATTCATTTACATTTTATCGACTGCGGTAGCAAAATCTATGATTTCGGGAATCAACATGGGTAGCAAACGAAAGTATATGATAATCAGGAAAGTGAATATACAAACTGAACCGCCTTTTCATGAGCTGTCAGGTTGAAAACAATATCTTTTTTATTTCCAAACAATTTTAGGATCAAGTGCACAATATCCCCAAACGAGAGGGAGGCGATTTACTTGGCTGAGAGATTCCTTTTTGGGCAATCAGAATGCTGCGTTTGGCACCACTTTTTATTGCAAAAATTCTTAAAAGTATATCAGTGATTGACCAAGTAGTTCTGGCGTAGGAGGGAGATTGTTCATAATTATTAATAGGAGGGAGATTGTTCATAATTATTAATAGGAGGGAGATAGTTCACTTAGGTTTTTAAGGGATTATCGTTCATTTGACCCATATTTCATTTTCTTAGTCCTAAATCATGTTCGCTCATTGTAGACAAACCTTTACCCTTATTCCAGTCTGGAGTACATAATGGACCTTTTTTCGTTATGCAGCAGCCCCGCTTTGTCTAGATCTAACAGATAATAACCATAATGTCCAATTTTTTCGCTAATTGTTTAAAGAACCTATTTGAAGCAGTAGTAGCTCATTCTAACTAGAATCGGAGCGAATCGTTGACAAGTACATGCGCATGAGGGTGTACAAATTATCCGGACGAAACGAACGAAACTGAAAATTAAAAATGCGTTTTTCTCAAATTGGCTTACCTTCAGGTAAAAATGATGGTTACAAAAATTGTATAAATTTTCAGCAGAAATAAAATGGTGCTCACGGACCCATCGTTTTACCCCATAAATGAATCATTTTTGGCTTTTAAGTCAATCAAAAATTACACCAGAACTATTTGATTGATCACTGATATAATTATTACAAAGTGAGACTTATGTAGCCCAACAAAGTTTATGAAGGGTATCTTCCCCAAAAGTTTGCGCAAAATGTGTAAAAATTGTTTTATATTGTAAAAACAACCTTTTTTGTCTATCAAACAAACATAAATTAGTTTATACAATGTTTTGGAGAATATACCCTCCTTGAAGTTTGTTGGGCTTCGTAAGAGGCTCCTTTTGTTATAAGTATATCAGTGATTGACCAAGTAGTTCTGGCGTAATTTTTGATTGACTAAAAAAGCCAAACATAATCCGTTTCTGGGGTAAAACTTAAATTTTTGTGGTAAAATGGTGCCTTTTGTTTTAGGGGTAAAAACAAAGTGCACCATAATAACTCAGCTGAAATTCTAAGCAAAGTATGTCTGCATCGTTTTTTACTTAAAGTCAACCCAATTTGAGAAAAACATGTTTCAAATTTCTAGTTAATTGCGTTTTGTCCGGATAATTTAAATCAGCACTGTATAAAGGAAGTGTGCCTATAATTGCTCGCATCATTTGTTTCTGTGATTGTTGTGTGCAGAACTGGCTGCCAGACATTCTAGTGAAGATCGAGCACTACAAGAGTCTGTCTCACTACTACTTGGGCAAGGAGCTGAAAAGGGTGCGGGACTCTCCAGGGGCAGAGTGCAAGTATGGGGAGGAGATAGCCAGATATCAGGTGAGTACAGATACCATCTGTAGCCTAAAAAGAAGTATATTGCAAAAAGCTCAACATATGTTTTTTCTCTTCACACAAGCTGTAGTCTAGTGTTTTATGGTCAATCTACGTTTATAAAACCAAAGTAGCTAATTCCTGTGCAAGGTTTATGAAATTAATTGTTTTAAGGGTTATTTTTATACGCTTGTGAAGATATTGACGACGCGAGCTGAAATGAAAAACGATTTTTCATCTGCAATCTTTTTCGCAGAGTTCTGGAATTGCCGTTTTTTTTAAAAATTTTGCTGGACTTAAATTGCGCGCAATTTTATGCACTTGCGATGATTACACTTGCGATCAGCTTAGTGTGTTATTACGAACCTTTTTTGTAACCTAACTCATCATCATCATCATCATCATTGCTGGATTATACACCCTTTTTGGTACTCAAAGGTGTTTGTTTTGTCTGTCTCCTTAGTACGTGGCCGATGTGTAATAATGAGATCTGAATGAATGTGTCTTCAGTGATTTTCTGAATAACTGAAAGTCCGTTTCTTCTCGCATTTTCTGGGGCAGTGAATTCCAAAGTTTTGCTCCACAATAGCTGAAAGATCTTCTACCTAAACTTGAATTAACTCTGGGTACTACCAATTTTGGACCATCACGCAAGCTATAGCTATTTTGTTTTAATTTGAGTATGTCTCTTAAAAATGCTGGACATAAATAGTTTCGGTTTAGTACTTTGAAAACAATGCACAGTAATTTGAACTCAATTCGCTTCGAGACTGGTAACCAATGTAGATCATGTAGATAAGGGCTGGTTGGTGTTCCTTTCTTGAGTTGGAATACAAATCGTCCAGCTGAATTTTGTATTTTCTGCAGTTTCATCAAAAGGTAATTGGGTAAACCAAAATATAGGCTATTGCAATAGTCAAGGCGGCTAAGTATAAGGGATTGACAGAGTAAATGTCGGGTCTCAAAAGAAAGGAAAGCTTTTATGCTAAAAAGTTTCCGCAGAATGTAATAGGCCGAGCTACAAACAGAATTGATTTGTCGTTGTAAGTTAAATTTGGAATCAAAAATAAAACCAAGCACTGTAAGTGTGTCTTCTGATTTGACAATTTCATTATTAACACGTATGTTTATTTCTCTTGCAACCTTCCTGTCAACAAACAGAACTTCTGTTTTATCAGAATTTATTTTCAAATTATTCATTTCAAACCATTTGGTAATTTTGACTAGACTTGCATTCAGATGATCAACTGAACTATTTAAATCTGCGGCTGATAAGTAAATTAAACCATCATCCGCATAAATTTGATAATTCAAATCAAGAGATAAAAAGAGAGACCGTAGAGGTAAAAGGTAAATGCTAAAAAATAGAGGACCTAATATGGATCCTTGGGGAACTCCATTTTTCACAGATTCAGTCGAAGATAACCAGCTACTAATTTTAACTGCCTGGTAGCGACCACATAAATAAGACTTACAAAGTTCAAGAGCTGCTCCTTCAAGTCCAGTGTAATTTTCCAGACGGCGTAATAAAATATCATGAGAGACCGTGTCAAAGGCAGCACTTAAGTCAAGAGCCACTAAGATTACTGGGCATTTGCTTGAAAGCTTGTTAAGAATGTCATTACTGGTGTTCAAAAGTGCTAATTCAGTGCTATATCCTTTACGATACGCTGATTGATAAGGATCGAGAATATCAAGCTTGTTTAAAAGATGCAGCAATTGAATCGAGATTACTCTCTCAAAAATTTTGGATGAAAAAGATAATTGGGTAACAGGTCTATAAGAAGACAACAGATTTCTATCAAGTGTTGCTTTCTTCAGAAAAGGACTTATAATGCCTAACTTGAAAACATTTGGGAAATGTCCTCTCTGTAAACAATTGTTCAGTATGCCAGTAAAAGTTGGCACCCAGCTTTTTTGAATTTTCTTCATAATCTCAGTTGGCATAGAATCGCAGGGGCTGGTAGCATTGGACATGGATGCAATTGCTTTATAAATATCATCACAAGTAACTTTATTGAACGAACTAAATTTCACTTTGTCTCTGGCTAATGTTTCATTTGAGTCACGGTAATAAAAGTTATGAGGTTTCAATGAAGCAATGACGCTCTCAATTTTCTCAATAAAGAAAGTATTAAATTTATCTGCCAGATCTGATAAAGAACAATTATTGGGTAGCACTGATCTCGTATCAATTCCTAAAACTTCATTGAAAGAACTGTATGAGCTCTTTGGTTGTGATTTGATACGATTTACTTCCCTATTGTAGTAATCAAACTGTTTCTCTTTAAATAACTTGCGACAATCCAGATTGGCATTCTTCAGAGTCAATCTATTTTCCAGTGAAGGAACTTTATTGAAGATTCGTTCAAACTTACGGCGCTTTTGCTTCATCGTTTGCAAGTCATGGTCAAAAAATTTGCAGTTACGTTTTCTAAAAAGCCGAAATTTAGTTGGGTTAATATCATTTGTAACTTCAGCTACTATGTCAGAGAAATCCTTCATGGCTGTGTTGTTTTCTTCGAAACTGATTTGATTGATCAGTAAGTTACTTTCTATTTCTCCAGCTAATTCTATAAGATCAATATTGTCCCATTTTCTGTAAGGTTTTAAAATTCGTTCTGCCATTGAAACACTTATTGGTAGTAGAAAAGATATAACATGATGGTCAGAAACTTCGAAAGGGATCACGTTTAATTGCGATATTTTTATTTCATCTGTAATAGCTACTAAGTCTAAAATATTTCCAGAGCAATGTGTTGGTTCGTTTATAATTTGTTTCAGACCAAACTCTTGAAAGACATCTTGGAGGAGTAAATAACGATTGTCTTTATTATTAAAGAAGTGTACGTTGAAATCACCCAATATCACACATAAATCATAATCAGTGGAAAATTCGTAAATCATGTTGTATAATTGTTCTTTAAAAATCAAAAAATCTCCACATGGAGGCCTATAGCAGATGATGAATAATATACGACAGGTCGGAAAGGATATTTCGAGAACTTTTAGCTCTATCTCTGCTTGATTCAGCGATGATAACTGGTTGACTTTGAAGTCGCATCTACAAATCAATGCTATTCCACCTCCATTAGAGTAATTTCTTGGCTGGCTAAAAGTGTCATAAATTTCCAAATTAGAACAACACTGACGTAGTAAATAATTTTCATTGCTATCATGTTTCAGCCACGTTTCCGTAAGAAAAAATAAATCAAAATCATTTGATAGAAGTATTGAAGCAATATCTGATGTTTTATTTCTGACCGAGCGCGCATTCAATAAGCTAATGGAAATTGAAGTCTTCAAAGCTTTTGATAGTCAAGGCTTGTTTGATAGAGACTTCAACCATGTCTTAGCATTATCGTTTAAGAAAAATCTTTTGACCACAACATTTTTCGGCCAGAAAGCAGAATTTTCGATTTTTTCACAACAATCTCCGGAGAAAACGCAGTGAAAACTTCTGAAAGAGCCGTTTTCTATTGAAACTTCCCTGATATGTTGCAGTGGCGCATCTTTTTCATTACACCATTTAATAACATCATCTGCGGTATAATCTTTGCTAATACGACCAACATAAATGTGTCTTCTAGGTGGTGGTTTTGATACCCCTAAAAATGTTTGTGAGTCAGACGTTCCAATAATTGCCGCTGGCTTTTTTTCGGGCGTTTCCACTCGGGTTCGCTTTTTTCGACTAGAACTGTTCGACGATACACTGTCATTTCTGAGATGCATGCCTTTGATAAACGAAAAATCAGGCTTCTGAATTGTGATCTGGTCATCATAATTTACATGGGTTTGTGCATTACCAGAAGCAACTTGGCTGTAATTACGGGATTCTCTTCCCGCGTTAGTTTTCATATAATGGATTTCTTTATCCATCCTATTAACTTTGTCGCTGAGTTTCATCACATTAGCTAGTTTCTTTTCCATTTCATTAAAGCAAGATAAAAGGGTACTTAGCTTCGTGAGAGGCCCACAACTTGTACAAGACCATGCTATGTTCCCTGTGATTATTCCACTGCCGGGTCCAAGACCAAGACATTCCATATGTGCCCGTCTATTGCAAAGAACACAAGATAACCACGGTGATGCGTCGCCTGAGTCATCACACACGCTGCACTGACCATTACTGGGGATTGGGTTTTGGCAGTTTCTCCAATCTTCCATCATTTGAATTTTTGAATTTCACGAGATTTCTGATGTAAATATTGCTTACAACACCATGCCTCGCTGGCTCATCCCTGAAACTATTTAATAAGTTTATCACAACAATTAGGCTGTGTTCACTTTTTAGAAATTTCATGGCAGCATTGGAAATTGCATTGCATCTGTTCTCTGCTTTATTTGTGGCTAGTGTTTGTAGTCTATTAAGCACCCATGGCTGAGTGGTTAGTTTGTTTGTCTCTTATTCTCGAGGTCGCAGTTTCGAATCTCAGAGGTAGCAGAATTTTTGCTAATTCAAGGCTTATTTCTAATTTTTATTATTGCACTTCATATAGCTGCTTTTTGTCGTGTTCTTGCAAGTGTTTGCGAAGCGAAGCTTCGCCTCTGTGTAATCAATGCGCATGTACTTTTTGAAGATTTTTTTTCAAGGCATTTCAGTTTTTTCTTGAAGTTTTTAGTGTCACTAAACGTAGAGGAAGATTTTTTTGTGATGGTGTTTTTTCCAGAAGAGTTCTTAAGTTTGATCACATCTAATTTGATCTTTTTCGGTTTGGTTTGTAAGAGTCGTTGAACTTATTGAAGACTCTTATTTAGGTCGTGATGTTTTTTGTGTTCTTTTCAGGAAAAAATTTTGTTTACACTCGAAATTAAGATTTCGCGGTTTGGTTTTGATTTTTTTAAGTTCATTTTATTTCCTTTTTTATTTTTTTTTTTAGAAAAAAATTTTGTTTACAATCGTAATTAAGATTTTGCGGTTTGGTTTTGATTTTTTTAAGTTCAGATTTTTTCCTTTTAACAGAAGAGTTCTAAAGTTTGATCACGTCAAATTTGATCTTTTTCGGTTTGATTTGTAAGAGTCGTTGAACTTATTGATGACTCTTATATAGGTCGTGATGTTTTTTGTTTTCTTTTCAGGGAGAAATTCTGTTTACACTCGAAATTAAGATTTCGCGGTTTGGTTTTGATTTTTTTAAGTTCAGTTTATTTCCTTTTTTAGAAGGAAAGAAAACGCCCCTATCGAAGAGCAAAAGCGTTAAGGTCACGAAAAAAGTGATTGACTGCTAGTTTCGGAAGTGGAATTTATTTTTTAGATTTCTTTGCGGAAAAAAGTATTCCTATTGATCCAGTTTTCTCAAATAATTTATCGATAAAGTCGATGTTTGATTTATTTTTGAATTTTAAATAGTTATTTAAAAGGAAGGTAATTTACGCCAATAAATTAAGAAAGTGGAAATGGCGCAAAAAATGTGAATAAGTTTCAGTTTCTGAGATGGATTTTACTAGATTTCCCAGCGAAGTAAATTAATCAATTGATCCAGTTGTCTCTGATTGCGTTACTTGATAAAAAAGTCTTGCAATGCTTGATCATGCAATACCCTTTTTTCAGTAAATGTCAATAAAAACTTCGTTTTTTCATAACTATTTGTTGCCCATGAAAAAAATCACTTTTTCAACTGTTTATTGCCTATATTGTTTTTGCCTCTCAGAGCTATCTAGAGCTGTAGTTGTTTTGCTTGTGTTTGCGAAGTGCAGCTTGCCACAGTGTGATGTCTAAGTTCAGGTACTAAAGTTTTTTTTAAGATGGCTTCATATTACAAAAATGTGTACAGGAAAAAATGGTTTCATATTTAGATAATGTTCAAATTCCTTAAAATAAAGTATAAGGATTAAATGAAACTACAAGGTACATAATTTGTTTGGCGAAAATGGAGTTTTATATCAAACAACTCAAGATGCTTATAAACCCATCGTGTTTCATTCAAAGTTGGCCGATTCCTTCCTGAAATACAAAACATCGATGGAGCTTCTTCCCAACAATATCAAAACCGAATTGAAATCAGAGCTGAACGTAGCTATAAAGGACAACAATCTCATCTATCATGAGCCCATTCCCGACACAAAGACCCTTTCATCGCCCGAGAAGACGATTCTCGCCAAGCCGACAGCCTTCGATGCAACCAAAACGCTTTCGAAAGAACCCAAAGATTTGTTCGGCTCAATTACACCTTTGGCAGTTGCGAGTGCACTGGAGTTCTTCAAGCAGAAAAAGACCGAGCTTGTTTCGGTCGAAGTTGCGAGGTTGAGAGAAGCGAATGATACTTTGAATGGGTATGTGGATTATATATTTGTAGTTATTAGTTATAACTTGAATGTCGGCAATTTAAATAATTGGCTAATAGAATTTAGTTTACCGATAAACACCTTAATTGCACGAAAGCATACTCTTGCACCAGAAATTGGAATTAATACATAGATTTAATAGATTTTTGTGGAAAAAAACGCGTTTCCATTCTAGTAACCTTTTTTTACAGAGTCCTGGCTTCGCTGAATTTACCTGCAGCGCTGGAGGAGACTCGCAGTGGTGAGTTACCTGCGTCTCTTTGGGAAAAGGCTTTGAAGCTACAGAATCAAGGAGGAATTGAATACGTCGCCAGGTTCATCACCGACCTTCCTGAAATGCTCGATCGCAACAAACAACTCTTGGACGAGGTTGGTTTATTTAGCATCCAAAAATTAATTTCGCGTGTCGCAGCTGAATTTTATAAAAAGGGTCTTAGCGATCGAAGCCAAAACTCCTTAAAATACATAACACGCTAATTTCGAACGAACCCATCGTGTTTTTTCCCAAGTGGTCTGTTGTAATGTAGGAGGCAGTTGTTTTAAATTTTTTCGACCACTTGGCGAAGTGAGTAGGAGGGAACTATGATGTACAGTGTTTTTTTCCAAGCAAAAATAGGTATCACAATAAATAGATATATCTTACTCAATAGGTCAATAGATATATCTTACTAAAGATATATCTTACTATGGCGTCCTAATTTAGTTTTAATTTTTTGAAGGTTCTGGTTAAACGACAACTGATTATCTACAATTACGCCAAGGTATTTATAAGGTTAATTTATTGGAACATAGCCAGTAGGAAATATTTGTTAAATCCAGTTGATATTGATTGAAATTGGCAGTTTCACAGGATATATTTGTGTGATATGCAAATAGGAAAACGCGAGACTTCGACACTGCTTGATGCAAGTCATTTGTGTAAACAAGAAAAAGAAGAGGGCCAAGAACAGATCCCTGTGGGGAACCTGAAGAAACATTTGACCAATCCCCTGTACAATTTTTAACTTTTACACATTGATACCTGTCTGTCATATAACTTTCGAACCATTGATAACAGTTTCCACTAACGCCGTATCGTTCTAACTTTTTGAGAAGAATTTGATAATCAAGTGTATCGAATGCCTTTTTTTAAATAGACAAAATACAACATTTAATGTTTTTATCAGCTCCCAACCAAATGCATTCAGTCATTTCTGCTAAAATGTCAGTTGTGGAAAATTTTTCTCGAAATCCAAATTGTTTATCGTGCAGTAAGTTCATGTTTTCTAGCTAATTGTATAAACGAGAATGCATTTTTTTCAATTATTTTACAGCTATTTTTTAACAGTGAAATAGGGCGGTAGTTATTAATTTCTAATTTTGTACCACCCTTATGTAATGGTAGCACTTTCGCATTTTTAAGGTTTTGGTGTAACTTCCCACAAAAAATTGAGAGGTTTGTTATATCAGTTAAATATGGCGCTATAACAAAGTCTATTTTTATCAGTTTTTTTTTAATTTCATCAATTCCACAGGTTTTTTTTCAATTTTAATTTCTTAATAACGTTTACAACCTCACTGAACGTGCAATTAAAAAAAATGACTCGCATTGTTAATTTCAACAACTGGCTCGGTAGGCCTTTTGGTAAAAAAAATCTACTCGATTTCATCAACACTTATTACGCGATTAGCAAGCGTTATCGAATCGGTATATATACTCTTTCTTCCGGTTAACAACTTGTTTAACAGAATCACTTGGTATCTTGGTTTCAAATGAATTCATTTTTCTTAGCGTCTCCAGTACACTTAGTCGGAGGTAAAGAATACGCCTGGGACGGCAAAGGTCCTGAGTTTGAATGTGACCAGGACCTGTTTTTTTTTCAAGCGGAAAATTTTCTATTTCAAAAAAGTTGTCGGCTTATGATTTGTTTGCTTACATTTTGTTGGCTTGGTTGCCACATCTTAGATTTTTTTTGCCGTATGCAGTTTTCATTTTAGTTGCTTGCTATGTTTTTGTTTACTCCTGAAATTTGTAATTCAGCTAACCTTGACTGCGTATATTTTCCTTATTTTGTTTTTGCTCCAACGTTTTTCGGCCTAAATGATTTCGTCTTTTGTTTTATTGGCTTACTAGCCTTATTTTTGGTCACTCGAGGGAACCATAACACGTACACTTTCCTCCGGATGGCACAAAACGTTAAATCTCAGAGTAGAATTTATAGTTCAAAGTTTTCAGGGCATTCTTTTTGTGGCTTTGTTGTTTACTTGCCGGAGCAAATGTACTGGTGGTAATAGCGAACTAAACTTTTGGTAATCGGAATTTGTGTTAGTAATTTGAAAGCTGGGTTCGCGTTCCGGCTCAACCTTGTTTTATAAAAGTCGATGGACGTAGAATGGATGTTTTTTTTTTAAATAATTCGTGATGATTTTTGGTTTGTTCTTTTTTTTCGGGAAAAGTTTTAAAATCAGTTCAGGTACTAATTACTTTTTTGTGGTTTGACTTTTGGTTTTTGACTTCAGTTTTTTTCCTTTGTTAAACAGCAAAAGGTTAAGGTCTTTAGAAATATGATCGACCACTAGTATGGAAATTGAATTTGTTTTTTTTTCTAGCGAAATAAAAAGTTTACTTATTGATCTACTTTTCTTAGCTTGGGTTGTTTTTATCCAAAGAGGGTCAATCATTAATAATTCTGGAATTTCAAAGAGCTTTTCACTTATGTTTTTTCTTCATTTTTGCGGTTCATTGTTCTTTACCTTCTTCCAACCCTCTGTTGGCTAGGTTTTATCTTTTAAGGCTTGTTCACTGAGTTTTGCCTTTTCTTTCATTTAAAAGCTTTTTTGAACGTTTTGTCTCTTGTGTTCGCGAAGTGCAGCTTTGCCTTTTTCTGTTTTGAATTTACTCATTGATCCAGTTCTCTCAAATTGGGTTATGTTTATCCAAAAAGATCAATCATTAATTATTATTGACCTTCACAATCAATGAACTTTAAACTGATATTTTTCTTCATTTTTTTGCTGTTAGGTTTTATTTTTCAGCGCACTCTTACTCAATTTTTTTGTTTGTTTCATCTGAAAGCTTTTTTCGTCGCTTGTTTTTGCGAAACGCAGCTTCCCCTCCTAGTTTTAAAATGATGCGCTTATTACCCTCGCGATAAGTAACTTTTTTTCTTAAAAAACTTGTTCACAGAATGGTCAAAATTTGAAATTTTAAATTTAGGCTTAGCTCATAATGGATTCATTCTTCTTTGTGTGTCTGGTACACTTGGTCTGGAGGTAATGAGTACGCCTGGGACGGCAAAGGTCTTTGGTTTGAATCCTACTGGACCTGTTTTTTTAAACGTTAAATATTCCGTTTGAAAAAATTGTCTGCCTATGTTGTCGACTTAGTTGCCACATCGTTGAGTTTTTTTTGCTTCAGGCAAATTACATTGTAATTGCTTTTAGCGTTTTGGTTTTCTTCTGCTGGTTATAATTTTACTAATCTCGACTATTTATATATATTTTTTTGTTTTCTTTTTTGCTTATGAAGTTAATTCTGCCCAAATGACTTTGGCTTACGTTTTATTGGCTTAGTGACCTAATTTTGAGTCGTTTCAATGGAGACGTCTTTTGCTTACTTCTGCATTGCAAAAAAAAGTCAAATCTTAAAAGAAATTATAGTGTTTTTCATGACAATGTATTTTCTGTTTTTTTTTGTTGCTTGATTGGCTTCCGCCTTTATTAAATCGGCTTAATGGCATCATATTGTGTTCCGACGAACGAAATTTTTTTGCATGTGTGTGTGTGTGTTTGTGCGTTTTTGTTTTGAGGGGGACAAAATAAATTGTTATAAGTATTGTTTTTTTTTGGATTATAGTGTTTCTGTTGAGGTATTCTCAGCTTTGTTACCACCTGACAAATTTTCTTCGATTGTAATTTCTTATTCTTTTGTTCTTGGCATGTTTTTGTTTCAAAACTAACCTTATTCTTTTTGTAAGATCTAGTTTTTTATGAGTACTGAACGTAGTGAAGACTCTTTTTTATAGAGGTCTTCTTGATTTTTTTTCAGGAAAAGTCTTAAAAGTCTCTAATAACTACAGATGTGCATTCATACATATTCATGCATTTATGGATCAACTTAGTTTGATAAAAATTACGTAAGTAGCGCTTTTCAAATACACCCGTGGAAATGGCGCAAAAAACGTGAAAGATTCCTAGTTCCAAAAGTGGAATTTAATTTTAAGATTTCCAGCGGAATGAAAACTTTACCTATTGATCCAGTTTTCTCAAGTTGGCTTACTGTTATCAGAAAAGTGCCAATCATAAATTGTTTTTTCATGATATCCAAAGAGCTTAAAGGGTATGTATTTTTTTCTTTGAAATTCTATAGCTGTGATTTTTTCCAGAAAGTCAGTGATTTTTTATGTTAACTTGCGTTCATTACCCTTTTCCAATCTTCGATTGGCTATGTTTTGACATTTTCGGTTTTTATCCGACTTAGCGACTTTCTTGTTTTGTACCGCAAGTGGTTTGAAGCTCAGCTTCGCCGCTGTATATAAATGTGAAAAAGCAATTTCCTTATAAATATTAATGAGAAAGGAAGTCGTCTGATATGTTTATTGTTTCAGAGCATCCGACTTTTACGCGAGGAGCGGGAGCAGGACGAGAAACTTCGCAACCAGTACAAGCAAAAGTGGAATAGGACTTCTAGTGACCAGCTCACTAAGCAGTTGACGGAGGACCAGACTAAGTACAGCTCCCTGCTGCAGAGGTCTCGCGAGGCAGATGCCAAAGTGAAGACACAGTTCGAACAGACCTTGGACTATATGCGTATACTCTCACTGCCTAAAGTAAAAAAATTCGTTTATCGTATACATCTTTAGCGAAGAATATCGAACGCAATGGACACCTTAATTTGAGTCATTGTGTTTGTCATTTTTCCAGTTCTTACAAAACCTCTTACAAAACCTCAGTTCTTACAAAAATAGCGGTTGGTTAGTTTTGGTAAACTATTCATTTCGAAGATTAGAGAAATTAGTCCTAGTGTTTTTGATTTTTGCAATTCCTACTCAACCTCTCTGGATAAATAGCGGTTACCTAATTCTGGTTGACCAGTAATTCCGAAGATTAAAAATGCAAATTTATGCATCATGTCAGAGTAAGGAAATTCATTTTTTACTTTTCCAATTCTTACACAACCTCTATTGATTAGTAGCGGTTAGCTAGTTTTGGTAAATTTTTCTCTCCGAAGACAAAAGTGCGAGTTAATGCATTAAGTCAGAGGAGTTACAGTCCTTGTGGTTTTGGTTTTTCAGTTCTTACACAACCTCTGTTGATAAGTACTAGACTTTACTGTCCTAGTGTTTTTGATTTTTGCAATTTTTCCATAAGCTTTATGGAAAAATAGCGGTTACCTAGTTTTTGGTAAACCATAAATTCCGAAGATGAAAAGTGATAATTCATGCATCAAGTCAGAGTAAGGAAATTCATTTTTTTTTAGTTTTCCAATTCTTACACAACCTCTATTGATAAGTAGTGGTTAGCTAGTTTTGGTAAATTATTCATTCCGAAGACAACAGTGCGAATTAATGCATAAAGTCAGAGGAGTTACAGTCCTTGTGGTTTTGATTTTTCACTTCTTATACAACCTCTATTGATAAATGGCGGTTAGCTAGTTTTGGTAAACGATTCACTCTGAAGATGAAAGTGCAAATTTTTGCATTAAATAAGAGACTTTACTGTCCTAGTTTTTTTGATTTTTGCAATTTTTCCACAAGTTCTTTGTATAAATAGCGGTTCCCTAGTTTTGGTAAACCATAAATTCCGAAGATGAAAATTGATAATTCATGCATCAAGTCAGAGTAAGGAAATTCATTTTTTTAGTTTTCCAATTCTTACACAACCTCTTTTGATAAGTAGTGATTAGCTAGTTTTGGTAAATTATTCATTCCGAAGACAAAAGTGCGAATTAATGCATTAAGTCAGAGGAGTTACAGTTCTTGTGGTTTTGATTTTTCACTTCTTACACAACTTCTATTGATAAGTCGCGGTTAGCTAGTTTTGCTAAACGATTCACTCTGAAGATAAAAGTGCGAATTTTTGCATTAAATTAGAGACTTTACTGTCCTAGTGTTTTTGATTTTTGCAATTTTTCCACAAGTTCTCTGTATAAATAGCGGTTCCCTAGTTTTAGTAAACCATAAATTCCGAAGATGAAAATTGATAATTCATGCATCAAGTCAGAGTAAGGAAATTCATTTTTTTGTTAGTTTTCCAATTCTTACACAACCTCTATTAATAAGTAGTAGTTAGCTAGTTTTGGTAAATTATTCATTTCGAAGACAAAAGTGCGAAATAATGCATTAAGTCAGAGGAGTTACAGTCCTTGTGGTTTTGGTTTTTCACTTCTTACATAACTTCTATTGATAAGTCGCGGTTAGCTAGTTTTGCTAAACGATTCACTCTGAAGATGAAAGTGCGAATTTTTGCATTAAATAAGAGACTTTACTGTCCTAGTTTTTTTGATTTTTGCAATTTTTCCACAAGTTCTTTGTATAAATAGCGGTTCCCTAGTTTTGGTAAACCATAATATCCGAAGATGAAAATTGATAATTCATGCATCAAGTCAGAGTAAGGAAATTCATTTTTTTTTGTTTTCCTATTCTTACACAACCTCTATTGATAAGTAGTGGTTAGCTAGTTTTGGTAAATTATTCATTCCGAAGACAAAAGCGCGAATTATTGCATTAAGTCAGAGGAGTTACAGTCCTTGTGGTTTTGATTTTTCACTTCTTACACAACTTCTGTTGATAAGTCGCGGTTAGCTAGTTTTGCTAAACGATTCACTCTGAAGATGAAAATGCGAATTTTTGCATCAAATTAGAGACTTTACTGTCCTAGTGTTTTTGATTTTTGCAATTCTTCCATAAGCTTTCTGGAAAAATAGCGTTTCCCTAGTTTTGGTAAACCATAATTTCCGAAGATGAAAAATGATAATTCATGCATCAAGTCAGAGTAAGGAAATTCATTTTTTTTTTAGTTTTCCAATTCTTACACAACCTCTATTGATAAGTAGTGGTTAGCTAGTTTTAGTAAATTATTCATTCCGAAGACAAAAGTTCGAATTAATGCATTAAGTCAGAAGAGTTAGTCCTTCTGGTTTTGATTGTTCACTTCTTAGAAAAACTCTATTGATAAGTAGCGGTTAGCTAGTTTTGGTAAATGATTCACTCTGAAGATGGAAGTGCGAATTTTTGCATTAAATTAGAGACTTTACTGTCCTAGTGTTTTTGATTTTTGCAATTCTTCCATAAGCTTTCTGGAAAAATAGCGGTTCCCTAGTTTTGGTGAATCATAAATTCCGAAACTTAAAAATGATAATTAATGCATCAAGTCAGAGTAAGGAAATTCATTTTTTTTTAGTTTTCCAATTCTTACACAACCTCTATTGATAAGTAGTGGTTAGCTAATTTTGGTAAATTATTCATTCCGAAGACAAAAGTGCGAGTTAATGCATTGAGTCAGAGGAGTTACAGTCCTTGTGGTTTTGATTTTTCACTTCCTACACAACTTCTATTGATAAGTCGCGGTTAGCTAGTTTTGCTAAACGATTCACTCTGAAGATAAAAGTGCGAATTTTTGCATTAAATTAGAGACTTTACTGTCCTAGTGTTTTTGTTTTTTGCAGTTTTTCCACAAGTTCTCCCTATAAGTAGCGGTAACCTAGTTTTGGTAAACCATAAATTCCGAAGATGAAAATTGATAATTCATGCATCAAGTCAGAGTATGGAAGTTCATTTTTTTTTTCAATTTTCCAATTCTTACACAACCTCTATTGATAAATAGTGGTTAGCTAGTTTTGGTAAATTATTCATTCCGAAGACAAAAGTGCGAATTAATGCATTAAGTCAGAAGAGTTACAGTCCTTGTGGTTTTGATTTTTCACTTCTTACAAAAACTATTGATAAGTCGCGGTTAGCTAGGTAAACGATTCATTCTGAAGATGAAAATGCGAATTTTTGCATTAAATTAGAGACTTTACTGTTCTAGTGTTTTTGATTTTTGCAATTCTTCCATAAGCTTTCTGGAAAAATAGCGGTTCCCTAGTTTTGGTAAACCATAATTTCCGAAGATGAAAAATGATAATTCATGCATCAAGTCAGAGTAAGGGAATTCATTTTTTTAGTTTTCCAATTCTTACACAACCTCTATTGATAAGTAGTGGTTGGCTAGTTTTAGTAAATTATTCATTCCGAAGACAAAAGTGCGAATTAATGCATTAAGTCAGAAGAGTTAGTCCTTCTGGTTTTGATTGTTCACTTCTTAGAAAAACTCTATTGATAAGTAGCGGTTAGCTAGTTTTGGTAAACGATTCACTCTGAAGATGAAAGTGCGAATTTTTGCATTAAATTAGAGACTTTACTCTCCTAGTGTTTTTGATTTTTGCAATTCTTCCATAAATTTTCTGGAAAAATAGCGGTTCCCTAGATTTGGTAAAGCATAAATTCCGAAACTTAAAAATGATAATTAATGCATCAAGTCAGAGTAAGGAAATTCACTTTTTTTAGTTTTCCAATTCTTACACAACCTCTATTGATAAGTAGTGGTTAGCTAATTTAGGTAAATTATTCATTCCGAAGACAAAAGTGCGAATTAATGCATTAAGTCAGAGGAGTTACAGTCCTTGTGGTTTTGATTTTTCACTTCTTATACAACCTCTATTGATAAATGGCGGTTAGCTAGTTTTGGTAAACGATTCACTCTGAAGATGAAAGTGCGAATTTTTGTCAGAAGATGAAAGTGCGAATTTTTGCATTAAATAAGAGACTTTACTGTCCTAGTTTTTTTGATTTTTGCAATTTTTCCACAAGTTCTTTGTATAGATAGCGGTTCCATAGTTTTGGTAAACCATAAATTCCGATGATGAAAATTGATAATTCATGCATCAAGTCAGAGTATGGAAGTTCAATTTTTTTTTTCAATTTTCCAATTCATACACAACCTCTATTGATAAATAGTGGTTAGCTAGCTTTGGTAAATTATTCATTCCGAAGACAAAATTGCGAATTAATGCATTAAGTCAGAAGAGTTACAGTCCTTGTGGTTTTGATTTTTCACTTCTTACAAAAACTATTGATAAGTCGCGGTTAGCTAGGTAAACGATTCATTCTGAAGATGAAAGTGCGAATTTTTGCATTAAATTAGAGACTTTACTGTTCTAGTGTTTTTGATTTTTGCAATTCTTCCATAAGCTTTCTGGAAAAATAGCGGTTCCCTAGTTTTGGTAAACCATAATTTCCGAAGATGAAAAATGATAATTCATGCATCAAGTCAGGGTAAGGGAATTCATTTTTTTAGTTTTCCAATTCTTACACAACCTCTATTGATAAGTAGTGGTTAGCTAGTTTTAGTAAATTATTCATTCCGAAGACAAAAGTGCGAATTAATGCATTAAGTCAGAAGAGTTAGTCCTTCTGGTTTTGATTGTTCACTTTTTAGAAAAACTCTATTGATAAGTAGCGGTTAGCTAGTTTTGGTAAACGATTCACTCTGAAGATGAAAGTGCGAATTTTTGCATTAAATTAGAGACTTTACTGTACTAGTGTTTTTGATTTTTGCAATTCTTCCATAAGTTTTCTGGAAAAATAGCGGTTCCCTAGTTTTGGTAAACCATAATTTCCGAAGATGAAAAATGATAATTCATGCATCAAGTCAGGGTAAGGGAATTCATTTTTTTAGTTTTCCAATTCTTACACAACCTCTATTGATAAATAGTGGTTAGCTAGCTTTGGTAAATTATTCATTCCGAAGACAAAAGTGCGAATTAATGCATTAAGTCAGAAGAGTTACA